TCCAGCCCTGCACCTTGTTGTCTCGGATTCTCCAGCATCTGCAGTTCCTACTATCTCTCAACTTCACATTATACTTCATTTGCCATACATTTTCCACTTAATTCTTCAAAATCACACTGAAGCATTTCTGTGTCCTCCCTTTAGTTTATCTTCCCACCCAGAATTATCATTTGTAAACTAAAGGAAGAATGTTGTTAAACTTGAAAAGGGTCCCAAAAAGATGTGCAAGGGCATTGCCAGAGTTGGAGGGTTTAAGCTATAGGGAGAGGCTAAATAAACTGAGGCTATTTTCTATTGATCATCGGAGGCTGAGGGGTGACTTTATAGAGGTGTATAAAATCATGAGAGGCATGGATAAGTTGAATAGTCAAGGTCTTTTCCCCAGGGTAAGGGAGTCCAAACTAGAGGACAAAAGTTTAAGGTGACAGGGGAAAGATTTAACAGGGTCCTAAGGGGCAACTGTTTCATGCAGAGGATGGTGCGTGTATGGAACGAGCTGCCAGAGGAAGTGGTGGACGTTGGTATAATTACTACATTTAAGAGGCATCTTGATAGGTACATGAATAGGAAGGGTTTAAAGGGATAATGGGCCAAATGCCAGCAAATGGGGCTCGATTAATTTAGGACATCCGGTTATCATGGATGAGTTGGACCGAAAGGTCTGTTTCCATGCTGTACATCTTTATGAATCTATAGATATTAGATTTCATTCCCTCATCTAAATTCTTTACATTGTTAATTGCTAGGATTACTGTTCCCCCAAATTCTCTTTACGCCTGTGTGGGCCTCCAAGGTCCATGTGTGACAGTGAATTCTGGAATCAGAAGTCAATGTCACAATGAGCATGCAGACACTGATCACTGTGTGTGGACGCATAGCTTAGCGGAATTGCCGCCAAGCACTGACCCCTGCAGTGCTCCACTCTTCACTGACTGCTCCTCAGAAAAAGACTCATTTATTCCAACTTTCCTAGCTACTGATCAGTTCTTTATACACTACATCCAATTTCGTGCTAATATGGTTCCTTACTGACAAAGTGATGTGCAGAGTTGTCTATCTCCTTATAAGATAGAAGGTTTCTGCAATCAAACCTCAGTTACTACGAAATTAACCCTTAATACTATTCCTCTGTGCTTGCAGATTTCTATGAAGTACACATCTTCCCCTCTAAATGACTGCCATTTGTTCCCCCACCCCCTGTCATCAAGATAAATACCATATTTTCCTAGGTGCTATCAGTTCTGAAGGTGGACTCGAAATGTTAACGCTGCTTTCTCTCCACGGATGCTGCTAGATCTGCTGAGTTTCTGTTTTTGTTTCAAATTCCCAGCATCCGCAGTTCATTGTTTTATATTATCATGCCAATATTTGTTGTTCTAGAATACATTCACTGATGCAATATATCCTTGTATTGTGATGCATTAAAGAACACCAATAAATTAATCATCGTGCTATTTCTCCTGTAATAAGTTTCTTAAAAATCGATATGGATATGGTCTTCGCAACCCCACTGCAATCTCCGTCACGAACACAGTCAATACTCCCTGTCTGTCCGCTCTGTACCTCTTCAGAGAACCAGCAGCACAAAGCTCCCAGTCCAGATCAGAGGCGGAGAAGACGAGAATGCTCGACCGGGGAAACTCGCAGCACCACCTCCTGCCGCCGACGCTACCGGCTTACGAGATGCAACGCAGACAGCTAGGCCGCAAAGCCTTGGGCCGGCCCCGAGTGAGGGGCGGAAGATGGATGCAATCGCAGCGCACCTTTCCTCTGCTCTCCTCCCCTGCGGGACCCGAGGAAAGGGGAGGTTGGCTGGGGGGGGGGGGGGTTTGTCGCCGCGGTCACTCACCCTTTCATGGTGAACTTCACCACCGTTAACCTGCAGCCGGCGTTGGTCAACTCGGGCTGAAACTCGGCGTCGGCCGCCACCACTTTCACCCTCATCGTCAGTGAAGTGCGTTGAATAGAAATTTACCAGGAGCAGCTCCCAGTCCAGTCCAGGCCTCACTCTTATAGTTTTCGAAAAGAAGAAAGAAAATGAGAAAAACCAAAATTTTGAATTAAAAAACACGCACTCTACATCTATCAGTCCACCCTCTTACACAGATACAGGAGATCTCCAGCGACACTGCCCACGGTAGTTTGGAAACTCCCTTCCGCCGCGCCCATTGGACAATGGCCGCCGAGCCCCGGCTGCGGGATCGCCGGGCGCTCCGCGCTGATTGGTGCAGAGTGCCGTCCGTCCGGTGACGTCAGCAGCTCGGCCCCACCCCAGCCCCATGCGTCATCGGGCGGTCTCGAGCCTCTTTGCTAAGTCATGGCGCAGAGAAGTCACCGAGCAGGCCGAGAGGGCCTGGTTTCAATGGTGCTCGAGGTTTTCTCATTCTGTCTCTCTGTCAAGCTGTGGAAATATACTGTCTGTCCTTGGAAAGGTGTGCAGTAGGCAGGTTCGATTGAAGAGGGATCATTCGGACGGAAACAACGTGCAAGGGCATGTAGGGAAAGCAGGAGTTGGGCCCTCGGTCCTGATGCACTTTTAATGAGCTGGTGTGGGTACGACGTTCGGAATAGCCAGCTTCTGCAACGTAAACACTTGTGTGATACTGTCTCCGCTTCTTCCCACCCCACAAACATACCAATTATTACTCACAGAGGCCTTTCCAATGCCAACTGCTACCATCTTTGTGTTTAAGATGCGGTTATCCAATCGCAAAACAAAATGAAAAGCTGTGGTGGCTGCGTCGTTATGTATATTTCAAGGCTGAAAGGGTCAGCTTTTTTTCATCAGTAAGGAGATCAAGGGTCATGGGGAGACAATAGTGGAGTCGAGGATCATTAGCTCAGCCATGATCTTGGTGGCTTATTTTTGCTCTGATGTGGAGGTGCTGGTGATGGACTGGGTTGAACAAGGTCAAAAATCACACGACACCAGGTTATGGTCCAACAGGTTTATTTGGAAACACAAGAGACTCTGAAAGCTTGTGTCTTCAAATAAACCTGTTGGACTATAACCTGGTGTAGTGTGTTTTTTTTTACCTGGTTTTATGCTCCAGTGTGTTATGGTCACATTTTTAAACAGACACAAAAGTCAGGCCAGAAATATTCATTGTAACAAATACTCAAGGTAACAAAAGTCAACATTTTCAGGACTTGGACCTTGCACAGGACCAGATTATAATACAGATGAATTTTTTTATAATTTTTTTTATTTGGGAAAGATGAGAAAGAATAAAGAATCTTGAAAATGAATCTACTGGTTATACTGGAGCTCTATTTTGAGGTATGGTGTACAAGATGAATCAGACCAGTATGTGTCAATTGCAAATTTTACTGGTTCTTCATTCTGCATTGAAAATAGAATGACCAGTGAAGTGTTTGGTGGCAAACAGGAGATATGTAAATGTGAGGAGGGATAACAGGAGACAAAAGGACAGACAAAGATGGAAAGTCATTTTGTTGAATGGCTATCCAGAAATAGATAGAAAGAAGAGTAAGTAACGCTCCACTTTTCTCAGTGAACAAAAAAATGCAGTTCATCAATTTTCCAGGTTATGGGTCGCCACCCCACACAACAACCTTTTCCACCTCTTCATCGTTAGAAACACTCAACTATCCATTCTCAGCATCTACCATCAGAAAGAATGTGGGAACTACAATGTATGAAGGTTGACATAAGGCCACAAAATGCTGTGATGAAATCTGATTGCAAAGCTTGGATTGTTTGAGACAGATTCTAACTGAAAAGAGAAACTAGGCAAGGAAACTCCCTTCCAGCACCTAAGGAAACAAAAACTGAAACAGTGATAAGACTTCTGGGAAGACTAAAAATGGATGTAACATACAAAAGTACACATGCCTCAAAGCTCAGAATTTGGTGAGTCCACTGGTTGTGCGCAGGCAGGCTAAAGAAGGCAGTGGCTAGATCTAGAAGCTGAGAATAAGCAAAATATGACTGGTGTGGTTTCTGTTACTTGAGGATAACATTGGTAGATCTGCACGATCCAAACTGAGTGGAGGAATTTCTGCAAATATCTGATGAAGGATCCCGACCTGAAACGTTGACTTTCCTGCTCCTCAGATGCTGTCTGACCTGCTGTGTTCCTCCAGCTCCACATTTTATCAACTTTTGACTTCAAGCATCTGCAGTCCTTGCTATCTCCTTTCTACAAATGTCAGCTGTTTTTGGTGGACTGTGCATGGAACTCCAGTAGGTTGTAAGCTACTGAACATGAACTGAAATTCTCAGTAAGGGAAATAAAGTTTTGAAAGACTTTATGACTGAAATTGTATATTTGTATAATTGAAACTGTATTTTAAGTGGCCTTCTGAAACAAATAATAAAGTGTGTCTTTGTTGCAGCTTTAATGTGTAATTATAGTTTATAGTTACTGCAACTTTCTGATGAACTAATATTGACCTCTATTGACCTAATATTTAACAAATGTTGCCTTTGGGTTTTAGAGGATAGATGATTAAGTATTTTAAATTTGACTGCTGTACAGCAAAAGAAAATCCACTTTAAACCATGGAATCTTGTGATAGTAAGCACAGGGATTTCAATTTATTCTGCTTTATTTTTAAGAAAGTTATCTGTCTCAATTGTGATATTGCCCTAGAAAAAAATGGATGCAACTGAAATGGAACAACATGTTCAAAGGCACTGGAGATTAAAAGAAGTCAAATGACAGTTCTGTTTTCCTCAGGGAACGATGAATAAATTTGCCGGACATCAATATACTGTTCTGCACTGAATTAAACCATGAGACTCAATTGCCATGTCTCTCTGCAACTCTGAGGCCCAAGGGGCTGAATGGCCTACTTTTGTTCCTATGTTTTAAAATAACTTTCATCAGCTTCCAGTCTTTTCCCCTATGCTGCTGATCCTGTGATGGGCCTATTGATCCTACTAGTTTTTCAGCTTAAGTTTCATTTTACTTCCTGGTCAGAGATTGAACGCTCGTGTTGAAATATAATTATCGTCTGCTCCAGATGTTAATGTGATTGTCCATGTGCCATGTATTGTAATTTGACCTAGAACTAATTCTGCCTCCTGAATCTTGATTCTCATAGAAAGGTCTTTGGTGCATTCTGGTACAGCAACCTTTAGATTTCTTCAGGATGTCAATGCTCACCGCTTCATAAATTTGTCAAAAAATCTGGACAATAGTTTTTAATGTTCCATGCTTGCTCCATTCCTGCATTAACTTTATCCCATCAGAGAATTTCTGCACTTTGATCTCCTATTGTTTTCTCTCTTAAGGTCTTGCATTTACATAAGTGCATTGAGAGTCTGCTGAAAAGCACTAAAGTCAAATGTATACTTTTTGAAATGAAGGATAGTAAAAGTTCAAAAGTTTATTAAGATAAACCAGAGTTACAGCAGTGAGGTTTTGGTGTAAAACTGCTAACAATACCAAGATGGCTAGCTTTGACCACCAAGGAGTCTTATTGATCAGGTGAATTTCAATTGGCAGAAGTTAGTGGTCCACTTAAAGGCCATTGCTAATCATTTTAGGGTAAAGAGATTTGCAGTCAGACAAGGAGACAGGAATTGTTGGGAATACTGGCTGAGCATTTTAAAATCAGTTGACACAGCAGACAACAGAAGCTGAAACCGACTTACTTTAGCCCAAATACGGCTGGAAAAAATGGAAATTGAGCTGGACATAAATAGAGTCATAGAGATGTATGGCACAGAAACAGATGCTCTGGTTCAACTCATTCATGCCAACCAGATATTCTAAACTAATTTTCCAGCATTTGGCTCATATCCCTCTAAACCTTTCCTGCTCATGTAACCATCCAGATACCTTTTAAATGTTGTAATTGTACCAGCTGGCAGCTCATTCTAAACACGCACCACCCTCTGCATGAAAAAGTTGCCCCTTAGATCCCTTTTAAATTTTCCACTCTCACCTTAAACCTATGCCCTCGACATTTGGACTCCCCTACCCTGGGCAAAAGATCTGGCCTCCACAGCCTTCTGTGGCAATGAATTCCATAGATTCACCACTCTAGTTGAAGTTGCTCCTGATCTCCATTCTAAAGGGTCTTCCCTGTGCTCTAAGGCTGTGCCGTCAGGCCCTAGTCTCTCCTGCTAATGGAAACATCTTTCCAATGTCCACTCTATCCAGGCCATTCAATATTCTGTAAGTTTCAGTTAAATCCCTCCTCATCCTTTTAAACTCCATGGAGTGTACACCCAGATACCTCAAATGTTTCTCATATGTTAAGCCTTTCATTTCTGGGATCATTCTCATGAACCTCCTCTGAACCCGCTCCAGAGCCAGTATATTATTCCTGAAGTATGCGTCCCAAAATTGCTCATAATATCATAGAATCCCTGCATTGTGGAAACAGGCCATTCAGCCCAACAAGTCCACACCACCCCTCTGAAGAGCATGCCACCCAGATGCATTCCCTTACCCCTGCATTTTCCCACATCTAACCCACCTAAACTAAACATCCCTGGGTAATTTAGTATAGCCAATCCTCCTACACTGCACATCTTTGGACTGTGGGAGGAAACCCACACAGACACAGGGAGAATGTGCAAAATCCACACAGATACTCACCGAGGGTGGAATTGAACCCAGGTCCCTACACTGTGAGGCAGCAGTGCTAACCACTGTACCACCCACAATATTCTGAATGTAGCCTGACCAAAGCCTTGTAAAGCTGCAGAAGAACATGCCTGCTTTTATTTTCCAGTCCTCTCAAAATAAATGCCAATATTGTATTTGCCTTCCTAACCACTGATTTAACCTGTCATTTTACCTTAAGAGAATCCTGGATTAAGACTCCCAAGTCCCTTTGCACTTCAGATTTCTGAATTTTCTCCCCATTTAGAAAATAGTCTATGCCTCTACTCTTCCTACCAAAGTGCATGACCTCACACTTTCCCACTTTGTATTCCATCTGCCACTTCTTTGCTCACTCTCCTAACCTGTGTAAATCCTTTTGAAGCCTCCCCACCTCCTCAATACTACCTGTCCCTCCACCTATATTTGTATCATCTGCAAACTTAGCCAGAATGCCCTCAGTTTCTTCATCTAGATCATTCATGTAAGAAGTGAAAAGTTGTGGTCCCAATACTGACCCTTGTGGAACATCACTAGTCATGGTCTGACATCCTGAGAAGGATCTTTTTATCCCCACTCTCTGCTTTCTGCCAGACAGCCAATCTTCTATCCATGCTTGTACCTTGCCTGTAACAACATGGGCTCTTATCTTACTCGGAAACCTCCTGTGCGGCACCTTGTCAGAGGCCTTCTGGAAATCCAAGTAGATAACATCCATTGGGTCTCTTTGGTCTAACCTGTTTGTTATCTCCTCAAAGAATTCTAACAGATTTGTCAGGCATGACCAGCCCTTGATGAAACTATGTTGACTTTGCCCTATTTTACCCTACACTGCCAAGTATTCAGAAATCTCATTCTTCACAATGGACTCCAAAATCTTACTAACGACCAAGGTCAGGCTAAGTAGCCTGTAATTTCCCATCTTTTGCCTTACTCCCTTCTTAAACAGGGGGGTTACATTAGTCATTTTCCATTCCTCTGAGACCCTCCCTGACTACAGTGATTCCTGAAAAATCACTACTAATGCCTCCACTCTCTCTTCAGTTATCTCCTTCAGAACTCTGGGTTAAGTCCATCTGATCCAGGTGATTTATCCACCTTCAGATCTTTCAATTTTTCTAGCAGCTTCTCCTTGGTGATGCCCACCATACTCACCTCTGCTCCTTGACTCTTGAATTTTGGGGATGTTATTGGTGTCCACCTGGTGTAAGAGGTAAGGTACTAGCATGGATAGACTGACAAAGTATTTGTTCGGTTCTTCTGCCATTTCTTTGTTCCCCATTACTACTTCTCCATCGTCACTTTACAGCAACTCAATGCCCACTTTTGCCCTTTATATGTCTAAAAAATATCTTGCAATTTTCTTTTATATTACTGGCTAGATTACCCTCATATTTAATCTTTTCCCTCCTTATTACTTTTCTCATTTAATTTTATGTCTAATCCCCTTCACCACATTATTTGCTTTCTCTTTTCCTTTTATGCTGTCCCTGACTTCCCTAAAAGCCAGTTTTGGTCTGTGCCTATTTTTAAATTTGTAATCAAGGTATTTTTTTAAAATCCACCTGTTCAGGGATTTTATGACATATCTGGAGCAGATGGGATTTGAACCCAGGTCTTGTAGCCCAAAGGTAAGAACACTACCACCACACCACAAGAGCCCTTATAATTAAATTCCCTTTGCCACTCCTCAGCCCAGCTGATCAAGGTCCCTTTGTATTCTGAGATAACCTTCGCTGTCAACTACATTACCAATATTGGTGTCATCTGCAAACCTACTAACTACACCTCCAATATTCACATCCAAATAATTTATATAGATGATAAAAAGCAGTCGGCCCGATACCAATCCTGTGACACATCGCTGGTGACAGGCCTCCACTCCAAAAAGTAACCATCCGTCTCCTAACTTCGAGCCAATTCTGTATCCAAATGGCTGGTTCCCTCTATATTCCATGTGATCTAATGTCGCCAATCAGTCTATCATGCGGAATCTTGTGGAATGCCTTACTGAAGGCCATATAGACAACATATAGCCTTTCTCAATCTGCTTCATCACTTCTTCAAAAAGCTCAAGTCAGTGAAACAGGATTTCCCACGCATGCAGCCATGTTGATTATCCCTAATCAGTCCCTGCCTTTCTAAATACATGTAAATCCTGTTTTTCAGAAACCCCTCCAACAACTTACCCACCATTGATGTCAGGCTCAGTGGCCTATAGTTTCCTGGATTTTCCTTCCACCTTTCTTAAATAATTGCACCACATTAACCAACCTCCAGTTTTCTGGCACCTCACCCAGGTGGATTTTAAAAAAATACCTTGATTACAAATTTAAAAATAGGCACAGACCAAAACTAGCTTTTAGGGAAGTCAGGGACAGCATAAAAGGAAAAGAGAAAGCAAATAATGTGGTGAAGGGGATTAGACATAAAATTAAATGAGAAAAGTAATAAGGAGAGAAAAGATTAAATATGAGGGTAATCTAGCCAGTAACATAAAAGAAGATTGCAAGAGATTTTTTTATCTCTGCAAGGGACCAGCAATGATTATCTTCCCACAAGGTTCTAAGGCACACCTGATTACGTCCTATTATTAACCAGCTTGAAGGCTCATTTCTTCACTAAAGTAAATTCAAATAGTCATTTGTATTGCTGAAAAAGACATGTTTTATCAAAGCTTTTCACCTTGCAGTAAACAAAACAATTTGCAAAAATACTGACTCAAGGAGAAAACTGAAATTTATATTGCATGAGATGAGAATGCTGATTGGTTGGCAA